ATGCCTGGGAACTGTGTAAGACTGTGATAGAGTGAAACAGACCATGGCTGAATCCCAGTTAAATACTATTACTGGTGGTTCAGAACCCTTCTGATACCATGAATGTTCTATCTCTAGCTATTAATGGAGTCACACTTCCATTGAATTGAAGGTGTCAATTATAGGATTCTCCTGGGCTCACAGCTCCTACTGGAACAGCAGGTGAAGCCATGGCCAGTACAGTTTTTAACTAGCTTCAGCAACTCGACCAATTGCACGCTTTTCTGGACCAGGAGGTGCTTGAGGCTGTGATACATGCCTTTGACTTCTCCCAGTTAGACTGCTGCAATTCACTTTACGCAGGGTTGTGCATGAAGACAACTTGGATGATGAAGCTGACACAGAGTGCGGTGGCCTGCCTATTGACCACATAAGTCAGTTTAGCAAAATAATACTCATTTTGCAGAAGCTGCATTTTCTGCCAATAGGCTTCTAGGCTCAATCCTGGGGACCCACCTCCAAAAGGATTAGTGGGGTTAGGACTGGAGGATGATACTCACTGCAGCAGCCCATATTTCTGGATCAGCCTGGATCTCTGAGGATAGATAAGCCCGTATCCTGATGTCTTTTCATAAAATGATGAAAACAGTCCATTTCAAGAGCACATTCTGGTAGGAAGATCTTTGTAACAATAGCAGCAGTCTTTATGAATGGTATTTAATGGTTTTAATTTATTGTTTGTATGTTTTTTTAAAAAAAATTGGATTTAATTATTTATTGTTTACTGTCTAGAGCTGTGAAAATAAGTGGCACACAAATGCTTGTAGATAGATAGATAGATGATAGATAGATGATAGACAGAGATAGAATGTAGTTCAATTGTCAGAATTCTTATAGTTCAATTGTCAGAAGTCCCATCCCTTCCATCTCAATTCATCTTGCTAATGAAACTCTCAAGAATCATGCATGGAAAAAAATCACTTTTGGTTTTAGGCAGATGCTAAAGAACTTGATACTTGAGCCAAATGGCGGATGGATGTTACTCTTACAAGCATCTGAATGCCTCTTACTTTATTGCCTTGGTAGAAATAATCCAGCGAATTACTTTTCTAGGCATCCTTGGTCATGGGCCCCAGCTAGTGATCTTGTCATGGACATAGCAAAAAACACCCGTGTAATGCTATTCCCAGTGTTATAACACCAAGACATTAGAAGCTACAGGTAGCCAAATTTGTTTGTCTGTTTGTTTATTTATCATATTTATATAGCTGCCCATATCACACAAGGTGACTCTGGGCAGTGTACAACAATTAAAAAATAAATACATAAAAATAAGTACTCATAAAAAAACTGTAAAAACACACAAAATAGGAGGGGATAAAATTAATAAGGTTTATAACATGGGATAGGCACAATCCAAAAAGAAAAATTGACAGCTTTTCCGAAAGGGGTTTCTTCTCAAGTCTGTCCTCTTGTTCAATCTTAGTATACCATCAGGCAAGAGACACAGGCCATGTCTGAGTCAAGATTTGTCATTCCTTGGAGCCTTTCAACACATATTGTCCCTTTAGCACAGGTAGGACGTCAAGGCACTGTGAAAACGAAAACTAATCGGCTCCTTAGAGTGAAGGCCTGGTTCCCCATGATGGATCAAGATGTGGACACCTGCATCAGATCTTGTCTTCTTGGACAGTCAGTACTGCCAGGTTACAAAGTCCCATCTCTTCTGATGACTGTTTTGCATTCCCCCTTGGCATTCCCACCTTCATGTTGTCAAATTGTTCTCGTTTTTCAGTCACCCGGCTGGTTAATTCCATTCCCCTGTGGCTAGCCTACTTCGAGCTGATACCAACTTTTCAGCCTATCACATACCTGGAATGGGCAAACCCCACAATGGTCCTCCTTCCAATGGCCACATCTCATAATTAGCTTGTTATTTGGGGGGGGGGGGACAATCATTAAAAAGGAAGGTCTTGTTGGCACATGTGGCAATGGCAACATACACTGTTACATGCAGCGTCTAGAAAGTGCTATGAATTGCAGAGGTGACAATGAAAATGTCCACTAAGCATTTCTGTTTTAGCAACAATTTTGGCAATTTAGGGCAGAGGGGACAGCAAGGAAGAAGCGTTCCAGGGAATTGCTCATAATGCTAACCTTAATCCTGAGGCCTACTTTGCCAAAATTGTTGGCAAAGCAGAGGCTGCATACAGTGCAAAGAATACAGAATAGCACTGACATATTGGGCAACCAGCTAGAACAAGAGGGGACAATCTTCTGCACTCTGTGTGTCTCTGTTTTCTTGTGTCTTCCATGGAACCGTAACACTGTCAATAGGACAGAGTATGATATGGTAACTCAGAATGTTTCTCCTTTCAGACAACTGAGGAACACTTTTTCATGTTGCATTAATTAATGAATTTGATCGATTGTTGGTTGGTTGATTGATTGGTTGGTTGGTTGATTGATTGATAGGTTTTCTAGCCCATCCAGATGACTAGACTCTGGGTGGGTTACAATAAATTAGAATTATAAATATAACAGTACAATACATCAAAAAACAATTAAAACAACATTGAGAAATCAGCCTTTCCTCCAAGATGGAGGTCGACCAAATTTCACTAGGTTGAAAACTCAATGAAATAGGTTGAAACTCAGTGGAAGTATATGTAAAGATATTCCAAAAACCACAAGGGTTGGTGCTTTATAGACCTCTGGGGTTAAGAAGTCTAAAGTTGTGGGGGGCATGATAGGGAAGGCCTGTGGTCATCCATGGGGGGGATTTTTAACAGGCCTTCCTGAGATGTTCTCAAGAGAAGGCAGGTTCAAGTCTGGTAACATAGCGCCTAATGTAACTTGGTCCTAGGCCATGTAGGGCTTTCAGGGTGATGGCTGGGACCAAGCAGAACTGGTCTTGAGTACCCTGCAAGAATAAGATGCAGATCCTGAACCAGGTGGGTCAGATGTGATGTCATCTGGTGAAGATTATGGACCTTTTCCTGCATTAGTGGCTACATTTTGTGGATGTAGGGCCAAAGAACTTTTGGATGGCTGCAATCTCATATTCTTTATATCCTGGCTGATGCAAATATTTTCCTTGATTTTTTTTCAGAGAAAGGTGTTGTACAGACTCATGTTAACACGTCTGGTGAAGGAGGTGTTTGTGAGGGAGGCTGGGAGTTGATTAGAGTATCTCAGGGAGATGTTCCAAGATAAATAATGTTGCAGCTGCTGTAAGTGGCAGCACCTAACACTTTCTTTGGATAGTTTAAAGCGGATCAAGATTGTCTTAGTCAAGTAACTACATCCAACTAACTGGATGTAACTAAGGTGTGGACAATTGTTGCCAAATCCAAGGTGTTTCCGGGAGGAACACAGCTGGCACAATAGATGTAATGGTGGGTTTGGTGGCTATAGAAATACATAAATAAATAAAGGTATGAACGTGTTCCTCACTTACAAATCTAGTGGCAGTTGAGGTTCCCAGACTGGAAATCTGCTTTTTCTCCCAAAGCACTATGAACCTCAGTCCCTGAATCCAGTGTCCTGCAACCTTGTCAGACCTCAGAAGTCAACAGTTTTGGAAGTCCGCCAGGACTACCTTCTGGATACAGCCTCAAAGGAAGGTCCAGACCCACTGAAAAACAATGTCCCTAAGGTCCAATCCTTCAAAGGGATAGAAAGATACCATTACTGATAGAATTAGAAGCTTCAAGGTACCTTGATGGTTCCATCAAAAAAAAAAAATCCAAAGCTGCAGTTCCAAATGGCTTTGTGAAGATCAAGCAGGATAATTCCAAGAGTGTGCAATTCAAGAAAACAAGAGTTGTTGGCTTCATTATTCCTCCCAGTTTAGTGAGTGGAAGAAGTAAAGACAAACTTTTGCCAGACTTCCTACTGACAATGGAGGCGTGGAATATGCAGACTGCTTTTACTGCAGAGACTCAGGAACCTTGAGTCTTCAAATTTCATTGGTCTACTTTCCTGCTATTTTCTTTTCCCCAAAACTCAAGGAACTGCCTGAGAAATTGTCTTTCAGTAAGCTTGGGAAATTGGGAAGAGGCTGTTTTGCAAACCAGAGAAGCTACAATTTAGAATCATAAACCCAGGGAATGAGAAGAGATCCTTGTGGATATCAAATGCAACCCCAGGGGTTCCACAGGGTGTGGTCCAAAAACTCAAGATGGTGGCTACAGTGGTGTGATTGAAGCTCTGCCTGTCTTTTATGTGTGACATTTCCCTGTGATGCAGCCTAAAAAGGCACCTGACTTATTTCCAGCCTCACAAAAGCTGACTTACACTCCACTTGAAATCTACAACTCCAAAAAATCTTTCTTACAATTGCCTATTTTCTGTCTTCTATCCGTGTTTGATTTCTGCAAAGAAATGTGCACTTTTCTGTGTTCATTGTGTTATTTTTAGTCCATTCTCTAACTTAGCAAGAGTGTTTTGAACCCTCCCTCCCTCCCTCCCTCCTTCCTTCCTTCCTTCCCTCCCCTTCCCTTTCCTTCCTGGTTATGGGCCAATTTGACAAGGATGTCCACAATCCATTTGTCGCTGTCATTATTTGAATTGTTGAAGGCTACTTAGAAAACTTGGAGAATTTTCTAAGCAAGACACAAGGATGACCATTAACTTGGATGGCTTTAAAAGGGGATGAATAAATTCAGGGAGGACAGATCTATTGGTCCAGAAGACCACACATTACCTCTAGGTTGGAAGTATCCCTCCATCATCTGGACTGCAGAGGACTTTGGCTTCATCTTATGTTTGGAAAGACTGTGCCATTCTATGTCTATACACAAGTTTTGCTCATTATTATGTTAGATTAATTTCTTACGGCTGTGCAATATTTCTCCTAGTTTAATAGTCTTCCTAAGAGAAATTTACAGTACAATAAAAAGAAAAAAGAAAAGAATCTAAGAACCATGGAAGATTAAATATACTTTAATACAGTTGTAGTTCTCTCTCCTTATTTAATAGTTCTAGATATTAATATTTACCTCTTTTTTTCATGACAGTCCAATCTCTGCAATGTTTCTCATGCCAGGAGCCCACAACACCTGAGAAATGCATGACAGTGACCAACTGCACGCAAAATCACACCATGTGTAAAACAACAATGCATTCCCGTGAAGAAGGTGAGGACTTTTTCTTCCTAGGACAGAGCTGACCTAGCTAGTGCAAGACTATTTCCCATTTTCTGTAGCTCAAGGTCAAATGGAGAAGACTTTTCCTCCTACTCATCACTCCTCATTCTATGAAAAGGTGATAAAATATGTGACTTTGGATCATCCTCACATAACATGACAAAGTGTGTTGATCTTTTGCACATTGGCAGTGGCTTAGAGACAATAGGCTGCTACTGTAAAGGAAGAATGGAGACCTCCTGAATTAGAACAAAGGACCATAATTAGGTGGAGTTCACTGAATGAGTTACAAGGATATCAATATTTGTTAGTTTTTTAAATATGGTACAGGACACAAATTTAATGTAGCGTACAGTTTAGAGGTAGACCCACATATCTGTTCAAAATTTTCCAACTTTATGACCATGAAATTTGGGTGGATGGTTTCTCTACTTATCTTCAGGGGAAGCAGAAGTTCTCCAACAATATCTCCAAGACAGGAATTCTCCTGTAGTTGTGAGTTTAGTGATATTACTCAAACAGTCCAGTCACAGGAATTCCTTCGTGATAATTATTCCTTTGAGATTGAATGGAAAGCAAGGAGGTGGCAGAGAACTGGAGAGATGATTGCACAATGAAAGACAGGTCTTGAATACAACACAGTCAGTCACCTCAGCGCTAGATAGTAACCTCATCACATTCCACCCAGGAACATTGCTCCAAAATTATTTTATCCTTTACAAGAAATTCTCATGGGGAGATACACACATAGACACACAGACATGTACAGATCTACTTATGTAGAACTTCTGTGCCTTGAATAAACTTATAGTTAAGGCAATACAGATCTAAACAGAGTCCGGTGGAGTGGGAGGCTATAATAAATAAAAATACATACATACATACATACATTAATTGGGCCCATAAATCAGTGACCCACACTTTTGAGTTGTCCTGAAGATTTTACCAAGCTGGAGAAAAAGGGGAGGGGAAGAAAAACAATCATGGAAATGCAGGCTGTAAAAATGCCTCATTTTTTTTACTCTCTGATTCCCCCCCAAGACAGTTTGAAGACTTTGAATCCCAATATTCAAAGTATCCCAAGCTGTTGCAGTTCCTGAAAGGCCAGTCCAAATTCTGCATGGATTTGTCTGTTCCTGTAGTGTGTGTGTGTGTGGGGAGCTTCTTATGAGAGAACTGCAAAACCATCACTCTGCCTTTCCCTTTGAAAGTTCTGTTTTGATGGTAGGAACCCAGGAACGGGGAGGTCCACTGAACCACAGGGTGATGTAGTTCTGTAATTATTTTAGTTTAAAACACACCCCAGCTCAGGGGTGTACACAGAGTTGGTCTAAAAAGTCAAGATGTCAATCACAACAGTGTGATCGAAGCTCTACTGTGCACATGTGATGCACAAAACCCCCAGATGAAGCTTTGATTGCCACCATCTTGACTTTACTGACCACACCCTGTGGAATCTCTTACTGTAGCTGAACCAGAAATAAGTGGGCCCATTCTCAACACAGCAGGCATCATGCGATCGCTGAGGTCTTGAGTTATTTTTGAACTGGCACAGCCCCGAACGTAAAAGTGGCCTTCACATTGCAGTTGTTGAGATGGAGTGTAATTATACAAATTAGGCTGTACCTAGTGCTGTACTCAGCTGACCGTAGGACTCACCTCTGCTGGGCAGGAGAAGTGAAGCAAAGGAACAGCCACAAAGAAAATGGCCATCTCCCATTGTGTTTAGGATAAGACAAGCTGTGAACTTGAACTTTCTGCCTACCGAGAAATACAACAGTTGGGAGTGTAGAACAGGTTGGCCACACAGCACCTAGGGGTGTGAGGACGTTTAGGGCACCCCTAAGCAATAACTGAGTTGATCTGCATGCTTTTAAGCCTCCTTACTGGTCTATTCATTAGGCTTCCCCAATCTGGGTGCCCATCAGAGAAACCGAGCTACAGTTCTCATCCTTCTGATCTGGCACAGATATTAGGAGGGGTTGGGGGACGTGGTGTCTCTTCCAGCATGGCAGACACGGGTCTCTCTGTGTGTGCCATAAAGCAATGCCCAGGTTGTCTGAATTTTGCTTGTTGTTTGGCAGTCTACCCTTTTGTGGGAGAAGCAACCGTCACGCGGTCTTGTTCTCTGAACTGCAACCTCTCCGAGGTGGATGAAATTGGCTCCACACGTCCAGTGACCTGTTGCAACACCAACCTCTGCAACCATGATGGGGCCTCTTGGCTAGAGACCAGCTACACCACGCTGGGGGGAATGGTGGCTTCTTTCTTCCTCTTCCTCCATTGACTGTGAATTTCTCCGCAATTTGGCAGGGAATCTAATCCGCGTTCCTAGAAAGATGGGTTCAAATGTTTGCCTCCTCTTCATGATCCTGAATCCTATTTGTCTCAAATAAAGAAAATGGGAACAGAAATGTCGGTCTGAAAGTCACTGAAAAAATGTTGGAAAATTAACTGTGGGTGGTTGCCAGTTTAGTTTTAATCCTGCACGCACTCCCAGTCAGTCCTTAGATCCATATCGGCGCACTCTCACACACCATGCAGTTCAGCTAGCAAAAATATAGCTTGATGCTTGTTAATTAAATATTAGCAAACAACAAGAAGGTTAAAGGGGAAAAATGGGATGTCAGAAAACGACAGACACGGGTTCGGTTGTCCAGTAGACAGAAGTTTTTTATTGGGC